ACCTGCTAGCGATGGCCTCCAACCTACTAGCAATGGCCTCCAACCTACTTGCGATGGCCTCCAACCCAATAGCGATGGCATACAACCCAATAGCGATGGCCTCCGACCTAGAGCAATGGCCTCCAACCTAATAGCGATGGCACACAACCTAAGAGCAATGGCCTCCAACCTGCTAGCGATGGCCTCCAACCTACTAGCAATGGCCTCCAACCTAATTGCGATGGCCTCCAACCCAATAGCGATGGCATACAAACCAATAGCGATGGCCTCCGACCTAGAGCAATGGCCTCCAACCTAATAGCGATGGCACACAACCTAAGAGCAATGGCCTCCAACCTACTAGCAATGGCCTCCAACCTAATTGCGATGGCCTCCGACCTGAGAGACCTAATGGCGATGGCATACAACCCAATAGCAATGGCCTCCGACCTAGAGCAATGGCCTCCAACCTGATAGCGATGGCACACAACCCAAGAGCAATGGCCTCCAACCTGCTAGCGATGGCCTCCAACCTACTAGCAATGGCCTCCAACCTAATTGCGATGGCCTCCGACCTGAGAGCAATGGCCTCCAACCTAATAGCGATGGCCAGCGATGGCCTCCAACCCAATCGATGGCCTCCAACCTACCAGCGATGGCCTCCAACCTAATAGCGATGGCCTCCCACCCAATAGCGATGGCCTCCAACCTAATAGCAATGCCCTCCAACCTCAGAGCGAAGTACTGCTCACTCGGCTTACTCTGTATCACTGTTCCATGCAACAGTCCGTGCCTTGTCTTGTCACAGGCAGCTAGCATGTCCGTCAGAAGCGGCTTTATTGCCTGTTGAAAGATGTGCTTCGCGAGTTCCCAAATGTACAAAAGTTGTACTCTGCTGACTCTGCTGGCTAAAAAGGTGATTGGTCAACAAGACGGCCTCCCATCTGCCGGTGAAGTGCTCCCAGGGCCTGTCGGAGCTCCCTGCGGCGTAGGTGAACTCGTTCCTCAGCACGAGAAAAACAAAAAAAATAGGCTACTAGGAGCAAAGGGCATCGCTACTAGGAACAAGGACGCTACTAGGGGCTCCTGGCCTTACTACTAGGAACAAGGTTCGCTACTAGGGGCTCCTGGCATCGCTACTAGGAGCAAGGACGCTACTCCAAGTGTACAATGTTTCCCCTCCACTTTTGCTGATTGCTTTCGCCTATGAACTGCGCGACAATCAAGAAGCACCTACTACTAGCGTTGGGCCAGGTGGCTCGGGCAATTGCACATCATCAGCCTGCGACATCCAAGCGAGAAAGTACCTCATGCAGGCATTCAAGTATTCCAAGATAAGACAAAGTATCTTCATGGTAAACTTTGTGCTGTTCCTTCTTTTGCAAACTGTGCAAGCTGATTCATTCGCACAACATGGTTAAACAAATCAGCTAATTCAGCAAATGAGGTGTATCGAGATCAGGCAGGTGGAGTTTTTGCAATGACATAAGACAGAAATGAAATGGCTCCAATGGCCAGAATCTGTGTCTAAGTTGTGAGTCTTACTCTCAACTTGTTCAGTGAAAAAGAAGCTGTGGTGACCAAGGCGTTCCCACGTTGATTTAATAGCTACAGCACTTTGTCATTTGATGCTTAACTGCGAAGACAGAACAAAAGCACCCTCCAAACCTCGCCTTTGTAGCCAGCGTCTCGTCGGGCGTCAGTGCTTGTCAGAGAAGGATACGCATAACGTGCAAAAAGAATTCAGGACGTTGAGATTGTACAAGTCATAGTCATAAAGACATCTATCTGTCTTGACGAGTTTCATGGCCGGTTTACCGTGAGTACAGGTGACTGTCAAAGATTGGAAATCTGAGCATATTATATATATATATATATATGTGGTGCAATCCCTCTTGTCTCTTCCAGATTCTAAGCTGATCCTGGAGCCTAGAGAGGCAAGTAATGAGATACTTGCAAAGCTTGCACTGTGCACAAAAAATTAAGAAATTGAAAAGAAATTGAGTAGCAAAAGTTATCTTTTGCATTGGCCCCTCTGTCTCTCAAGTTTGACTGAGGCCTGAACTGCTCAAAGACTCGCTCACCATAAAGCCTCCCACAATCAGTTGGGTTGTTCAAAATGGTCCTTTCTCAGTCCTTTGAAAAAGACATTGCGCCTCTTCCAAGTGCTTGGCACAGCAAAAAATGCCAAATGCTGAATACTCAGTGACTCATCACAAGCTTGAAAAAATGGCAGCAGGACACAGTGTTTGCTTGCACATGTCATTGATGTCATCCAAATCCTGTGAGACAGTGGCAAAAGGGTAGTTCAATTGGAGATATTTCAACGAGTTGGCAGAGTGGCACCGTTTCGCTGCAGCAAATCCTGCAGCAGCCTTTGACCTCAAATGAGTGTCTGTCGTTCGCTGTCAGGACTTCGAGCACTTCGCAGTGCTGAGTTCCGTTCTTATCACCAAGCCCCCGAGACACAAAGCTGCCTGACACACTCTAAAGAGTCTGAAGCGAATGAGGAGTTTGAAGGATCCTGAAAGAAAAGAATTGCAGAGTCTTATTGAAACAAAAAACAAAAAGGGAGTGCCTCCAACCAACTAGCAATGGCCTCCAACCTAATAGCGACGGCCTCCAACCTAATAGCGACGGCCTCCAACCTACCAGCAATGGCCTCCAACCTAACATCGATGGCCTCCAACCTAATAGCGACGGCCTCCAACCTGATAGCAATGGCCTCCAACCTACTAGCAATGGCCTCCAACCTAACATAAATGGCCTCCAACCTAATAGTGACGGCCTCCAACCTAATAGCGATGGCTTCCAACCTAATAGCGATGGCCTCCAACCTAAAATCGATGGCCTCCAACCTTATAGCGACGGCCTCCAACCTAATAGCAATGGCTTCCAACCTAACATCGATGGCCTCCAACCTAATAGCGACGGCCTCCAACCTAATAGCGACGCGCTCCAACCTAATGGCCTCCAACCTAACATCGATGGCCTCCAACCTAATAGCGACGG